GCAGCCGGCATCACGGGAAGAAGAGGTGGATGCGGGGAGCCAGATGAGACGCACCTGAGTCCCGGTAACCGAGAAAGCCAGTGCGTGAAGGAATATGACGGAGGGGAGATAGCGTAGGACATGGTCAGGGAAAGCCTTCGGGGTCGGTTCAGGCTTTGAAATCGCCTCTTCCAAACACCCGTGGAGGGGTGAGACGCCGCTCCGTTGGCAGGGCAGCAGCTCCCAATGGGTTTCCCGTGGCGTGTACGGAGTAAAGTCGGCTTCAGAGCAGCGCCCAAAAAAGCTCCAACACCTTTTAATTACTGGTAACCAGCTAGCTGTTGCGCTGGAGGGACCGGTGCTGTCTGCCCGCGTTGGCCCATTCTAGGAAGAGTGGCGTTACGCCAAAAACATCACGCGCGGGCCGTGTGCGTGGTTGGGCGCAGCCGCGGCAGAGGCTCCCGCCTTCAGGGCTGGGTGTCCGGCTCCTCGGAGCCCCTTCCTCTCTCGCGTTGGCTTGCCGCCCCTGAAACCGGCCGGGCCGGAGGCTGTGCCGTGCCTGACGGCCTTGGAGGTTCCCAGCGTAGCACGAAGGAGGAGAAGAGGTGGGAGCGGCCCCGGCCCCTCGCTAGCGCTTTGGTGAAGGCAATGTTTGAGTGCGTAAAACTCTCGGCCGCGTGCCGGCTCTTCGTCCTGGTCTGGAGCTTCTGGTTTGGGCCTTAGCGAGGGAGGCGTGGGTGTTGGTGTCCTCCCCCGTCTCCTGCTCCCCTGACTTTGCAACCACCAGAAATTGTTTTGGCCAGGCCCCGGAAAAAGCAAAATTTACTGTTTTCCTCAGGCTCATAGCTTTGAACTGGAGGCATGTCTTCTAAACAGTGCAACTCACTTCAGATGCTTTTTGCCTTTCATTTTATTATTGCTTGTCACGCAATGTTCTTTGAAAGCTTGCTCATATATTATCTGTTCCATTTTTTCCATTTTCCCTTTTTTTGCATGCTGTTCCTCCTGTTTCTTCCCTTCCTCCACTCCTCTGTTCCCGTGTGTAGACACAACGGCGACGACAGAACCGGCAGTTCACGGTTGGTATCACATTCCTGTTTATCTTATTTCTCAGCGCTGCTGAGTGGCAAGACAAGCCTGGGAAGGGGAAGCAAAAAAGGGAAGCGGCAGTCTTCAAGGGAAAACCATGTTTCCAGTGGCCTGATCCCATAAATGTCACATCGTTTTAAGGCTGGAAAGTCTGCCTGGCCTTGTCATTTCTGCTGTGAGCTTCGCAGCCGGTCCTTCCCGCGCCAGGTGAGCGCCGATCCCCCACGCCCCGTGGAAGCGGGGTCCGCGTACGAGCGGTGCCGAGGGAGCGAGCGATTCTCCGGTCGTCTCGATGACTGGGGTAATCGCCTGTGAAAAAGAAATCCAGCTTTCCAAAAGAGGAATTCCGATTTCCTTTTTTGAGGCGGTGCTCCAATTCTTGAGCCTTTTTTCCCCCATTCCGAGTTGGCGAGGCGGCGCCACCAGTCGTCTCGATGACTGCGGTAATCGCCTGTGAAAAAGAAATCCAGCTTTCCAAAAGAGGAATTCCGATTTCCTTTTTTGAGGTGGTGCTCCAATTCTTGAGCCTTTTTTCCCCCATTCCGAGTTGGCGAGGCGGCGCCACCGGCGCGCCCGCCGGCCGGGGCCAGCACGGGGTATTCCGGGGATGCTCCCCGGAGGAGCGCCCGCCACGGGGATCGGCGGGGGGGGTTGCGGTGGTTTGGTGTGGGGGGGAG